GCTACACAAAAGCCTGGGAACATTACAATTGAGTAGAAATACATACATCACACTACAGAAGGCCACTATATTGAATACATGCCATATTGTTAGGAAATTCCTTAATACAGACACTGACACACACATTTAATTTTAGTTTTGTTTTGGTTGCTATGCCTTGACTCTGGTCCGGCATAGTACACAGCCACCGGTTTAAACCGAGTATTACCTACTAAACCCAACATAATAATAATAAAATAATATAATAACTTACAACAGTTTGAACTTAAATATTTAACTACTTTATTGATTTTAACCCATAAATATTATCTTTATTTTCAGTTTAGCTTACAGAAGACCAATAACTAATTATTATTATTATTATTATTATTATTATTATAACACATTTCTTGCTGGTTATTTTCTTTATACTACTTTTAACATTATGTGTAATTTAACATAATTAAAATTTGTAACTAATTAAATTTTCTTTCATTTCTTTTATTTCTTGGTTCTTAAAGTCACTGAAAAATTCTTTTTTTATCCAACTTTGTTTCTAAATATCTTATTATCAAACTGCTTTGTTGCAAAAACTTTAACCACTTGTTTGACTATTTAACTGTTTAAATATTATATAAATAAAATATCATAATTATTTGATTAGATTACATTAATATAATTATTAATATTATCTAATCAAATAATTATTATATTTTACATTAATATAATTTTAATGTTATCTTACATAAAATATTAGTTTTGACATTTTTAGTGTAAGAAAATAATTATTTAATGAAACATAATATGCTTAGACCATACAATATGCATTCGAGTGAAAACCTCACTAATTTGGAGCAGCCTTCCCCAATTAGTCTAAATTAGCCAGGTTCTAATGTATATTAATTAGACAAAAAAACCAATACTTTATAAAAAAAATTTTAATATAATAAACAAAATAATTGAAGCTGTATCAAGTTGTTTAAGATTCTTAATTGGTCATGCATTTTATTAATGTATTAATTTAATGATAATTTTAATTTCAGCTTGAAAAATAGGGGTTCTGTACATTTAAAAATTCATAGTTGGATAGAAGTCAGTTTTTGTTTACCAAATAAAGTGCATAAACTTCATAATAAAGATATAGATATTGATGTAAGTATCTTACAAAGTAACTGTTTATTAATCTATCTAAGTATTTCTTTAAGTTTTCTTTTGTTACTTATATAGCCTGAAGTTATAGAACAAAGTTTGACAGCTTTAAGGTAAGTAGGAGAGTATCTTTTAAAAAATTAATTTTATGAATTGACTCTTTTTAGATTAAATATTAAAGAAAAATCACTCTAATTGTTTCAAAGCTGAAATTATTTAAATTTTTCAGTTATTTTACAGAATTTTAATTTCATTTTTGAAGAACAGTTTAAAAATATAATTTCATTTCAATTAAGTTTGATTTTTAGTGTTAATTCTAAATTTCAAGATTATTATGTGTCTAATAACTGAAGTATTAAATTATATTTTCATGAGAGCAATAGAATGTTTACAAAGTTTATGGTATTTTGTAAAGATTTATCATGTAAAAAAAAATATAAAACAATATATACATTTAAATAATAACAGCTAAACATATTTTGTTCATAAACTGTTTCTCATGAAAAAGATATATATTTTATTTGTTTAATAGGATTATAAAAATGCAGTTTACTAAATATATATGTAATTATATTAAAATAGGCCCTATCATGGAATGCTTCTTCTTGTTGAAGTAGAAGAACTTTTAGACTCATTACCTCACGATTCATCACCTGCTTTATATCGACTTATCAGAATAACAAGTCCATTAAAAAGTATAGAACAGTTAGCTGCCGATGCTGATATTTCATTACCACACGTGAGTATTAACTTGTATTCTGTTAAAATTTTCCAGATTTTTAATTTTCTGATCAAATAAATTTATTAATATTAAAACACGAAAAAATTTCAAAAGTAACAATACATGTCATTACAATTGATCCATCATAACATCACAGGAACACAAGTTGTTCATGGTGAAGTTGACCTGTTTATGGAGGCTACTTATCTGTCTCAGTATGCAAAAAAATTTTAAAAACTTCTTTTTTGGTAATAGCAAACTTATAAAATCATATATTAAAATTGATATATGTTTTTATAATTGTATCATCACCAAAAGTGAAGTTTTTTGTGTAATGAGGTGGATGAGTATCTTCCATAAAAAAGTTAACTTTGCCATAGAAGACTGTTGTGTTTCTAAGGTATTACAATGGACAAATAACTATAAAAAGATTATCAAAAAAATATAAATTTATATTCAAATTTTAGTTGTCTATGATATTCTTCCCTATTAAAAGGTGCTGTTTTTAGGTTTGCCATTATCATACTGTGTTTCCCCGAAAATAAGACCTAGCAGAGGTTTTGCTGAATTGCGAAATATAAGACCTCCCCCAAAAGTAAGACGTAGCAAAGTTTCTTTTTAGTCGTAACAGTTGTCGACAGATGGTTGAAAGTGGCCGTTGGCTTTTTGAAAGTACAGCCACTGATTGGTCAACAGACAATCACGCCACATGGCATGATTTGCATAAGACTATGGCTTGGGAATCACAGATTATGCATAACATTACGGCTGGTGATCGCTAATTGGTTGCCAGGAATCACGCTACATCACATTTGCATAGTGCTATGGTTCAGTAAGCACTAATTGGTCATCAAGCCCGATGTTGACGCTATGAAAAGGTTAAATTGAAGCGAGAGTGGGAAGTCCACTCCAGCATGGGAACTTCATAAGTTCAGTTGATACAACCAGATTTACGTCACTCTTGTTTCAGTTAGACTTGGGAATTTTTTTGTTCAACAATAGATGTGAATTCTTCTTCATGGAAAAATAAGACCTAGCGCATCTTTGAAAGCAAAAATTAATATAATATACTGTCTTATTTTCGGGGAAACAGGATATGTAAAAACCAATTGAAAAGGGCTAAATAGATTAAGTGCATATTGAATAAATAAAGAGTGATAAAATTTGCTGAAAATGTAATAAGACTGATTTAATGATTAATATAACCAATATATGGAAAAATTATTAATACAGGCAAGAAACATAATAGTACCTATGCTATTCTTGTTTTTAATTAATGATAAAAATATTTATGTTTTATTATGACTAATTTATTTATGTTTTATATAAAATAATTTACATATACATATTAATAATACAAATATTACTTTTTTTTGTAATCTCTGAATGATAAAAGATAAATCTAAAAGCTGTCTATTGGCATTACAGGTAAATATGTTTAATTGACGAGTACTTTTGACAGTATATAACTGTCTTCTTCAGGTAACATAGTGGATAGAATGTTAGAAATCTAGAGAAAGAACACATTGTCAAATTGTTCTTTGCACATGAGCATGGAACATAAAAATTAGATATAAAAATACAAAATAAATTTGATATATGATGGTTATGGCTAATAAAATTAACAGAATTAATATGAACAGAAATAATATTTTTAAGGACATTAGCACTTACTGATAAACTGTATTTCTGTGCATATTAATTCTGTTAATTTTATTAGCCATAGCCATTGTATATCATATTTATTTTGTACTAGTGTTTAATTTTGTATTTTACTTTCCCGGCTGTTATATGCACATAACAAGGAAAAGTATTGGAATTTTGTCAGATTTGACTCTTCAAGTTTTTTGTAAATCTCCACATTTTGAGACCCCCTGAACCCAAAACAGTCAAAAGAATTTTATGGATGTGTGTGTGTGTGTGTGTGTGTGTTGGCGTATATTTTGTTTAATATCTCAGAATGGAGTGAAGATGAAAGAATGAAATTTGACATGGTAGGTTGTTTATAAGAGGCATTGATGCTATTAAATTTTGGTGATGAAAGGTTGAGGGGGGGAGATAGAAAGTGGTTCACATGTCATATCTCACATAGGGTTGAGCTTCATGAAGATTTTACTTGTTAGCATTTACAGATCCTAATAAAACTCATCTCTAACCTCAAAATTGAGTCCTTTGCTATTTTATAATAATTAAAAATATATAAAGTTTTTATAGCAAAATCTCATGATAGACAGCACCACATATAATTTTATTTATTTATTTATGATTAATAATTAAAAATGATTTTGAAAATAAAATCTCATAGCAGCTGGGAATGTTATGCAACTCATTGCTATATTTTTTTTATATCTAATTTTTATATTCCATGCTAATGCATGAAGAACAATTTGAAAATGTGTTCTTTCTCTAGATTTCTAACGTTCTACTGCCATATTACCTGAAGAAGACCATTATATACTGTCAAAAGTACTCATCAATTAAATATATTTACCCATAACATCAATAGACAGTTTTTAGATTTATCTTTTAGTATTGATAAGTGGCTTCTCTTGTTTTATCTCATTAATCTCTCAATGATATTTGACATTAAAATTAGCAATATGCATACAGTACTTTAAAAATCTATATTCAGTTATTCAGTACATTATATCATGTTATTACTATTTGAAAATAAAATTTTTTTTTAATCATACTGGGGACTTTAAAATAATGAAAATTTTATTTATTCTAAATGCTTTTTTTTTTCATTTTATAGTTGTTCTTTGTATTTGTTATATTTTACATAAAATTAATATGAATTAATTTTATTTAAAATTGCTCAGAAACTATTTTTACTTTTATTCCATTAAATTTTATTTGTATCTTCTTTATTGATTTTTTTTTCTATTTGTGTTTGTTAATTTCTTTCTGAAATTAGAACTAAGTATTACAGATTTATAACTTTGAAAGGTAAATATTTTTTTAGAGTGTCCTGTATGAAATGTAATGAAAATAAATTTTAATTATAATATATGTTTCAGTTGATTGAAATAAATTTCTTTAAGAATAATATTAAAACAGAATTATTTTATTAAGAAGTCAATGTTTTAAACTATTATTTACAAATATATATTGTCTGTATTTTAAAAATTAGTGTAAAGTACTTGTTAAATCAAAATTTATTTTTCATTATTTGGTATATTGTTGAAAATTGTGTATTTTGAAATCAAGTTGGAATTTTTAATCAACTTGTTGAAAAATATTCCATTTTTTTTAATAAGACAGTATTTATAATTCTGTATTGAGATGAAATCAACAACGATAATAATAAATTTCTAAATTGTTAATAATAATTTATTCTGAATAAGTGAACTAAAATTAAAATATTTTTTAACTTAAAAATGAAAATTACAGGTTTTTCAACTTGTTGGACACTTAGTATATTGGGCTAAAGCAATGATTATATATCCCTTGTGTGAAAATAATGTATATATATTATCTCCAACTGCTCCAACTAATTTGTAAGTAAAGAATATATATTAATAAAATGAGTAAGAATTTAGTAAAAAAAAAACTGAAATTAAAAAAAAATTGTATTTTTGTTTTCGTACAGTGTTAATTTTAATATTTAAAAATTTTATTATGCTGATAGTATTGTTTGCTTAATATAGCAATTTTTTAAATATTTAAAAAGCACTTATTTAATATACACAATTATTTAAAGCACTTACAAATATAATTCATATTTTTTTTTTAAATTTTAATGAAAAAAAATTATTAAAATAATATCACTTTCAGAAAAATTTAATAGTCTAATTATTTTTTAAGAAAATAAAATCATTTCTACTGATATTAAATGAGTAAATATTTTAATTATAAATGAAGCAAACGTCTAAACTATTTAAGTTGCCTCAGGCATATTGAAAACAAAACAAATAGAACAACTTTAAAATAATATGTATATATTAATGTTTTAAATTTGTTCTAATGAATGTTTACCTATATTCTGCTTTAGTGGAGAATTTCATATTATAATTAATAAATAATAATGTCATCTGTAGTAGCTTTTCTTAGCTGTCTTCAGAAGTAAATGTTTGATTCTTCAAATTTCATTACATTTTATTCAGACTTTCAAAAAGATTGAAGAATCTAAACTTGTAAGAACAAAGTTTATGATATATTAATTGTAATACAAAGCTCTCTACTAAAGTAGAATGAAGGTAAATTTGAAAAGTTGGAAATTAAACTAATGAGTTTTGTCTTATTCTTTGCAGTAATGGTTAAAATTTCATAAACCCTTAAATTCTTGACCTACTTTCAGAAAATTAAAATTATTTAGAATTCTTATTAAAGGTATCCTAAATAAAAAAAGGAATATCATAAACATGAATCATTTTTAATTACAGTAGAGCGTCGATTTTCCGAAACGTCAATCATCCGAAAGAATTCCAGTCGGCAAATTAAAATTTTCGCCAGTGCTGTGGCGCTTCAATCTTTGGCTGTCTTGGGCTACTTAAATATTTTACGTTTTTGATACTAAATTAATATCTGAAGTATAATTTTTTATTGTTTTTATATATTTCAATATATTTATTTTGTACAAAATAAAAAAATAANAATATTCCATTTTTTTTAATAAGACAGTATTTATAATTCTGTATTGAGATGAAATCAACAACGATAATAATAAATTTCTAAATTGTTAATAATAATTTATTCTGAATAAGTGAACTAAAATTAAAATATTTTTTAACTTAAAAATGAAAATTACAGGTTTTTCAACTTGTTGGACACTTAGTATATTGGGCTAAAGCAATGATTATATATCCCTTGTGTGAAAATAATGTATATATATTATCTCCAACTGCTCCAACTAATTTGTAAGTAAAGAATATATATTAATAAAATGAGTAAGAATTTAGTAAAAAAAAAACTGAAATTAAAAAAAAATTGTATTTTTGTTTTCGTACAGTGTTAATTTTAATATTTAAAAATTTTATTATGCTGATAGTATTGTTTGCTTAATATAGCAATTTTTTAAATATTTAAAAAGCACTTATTTAATATACACAATTATTTAAAGCACTTACAAATATAATTCATATTTTTTTTTTAAATTTTAATGAAAAAAAATTATTAAAATAATATCACTTTCAGAAAAATTTAATAGTCTAATTATTTTTTAAGAAAATAAAATCATTTCTACTGATATTAAATGAGTAAATATTTTAATTATAAATGAAGCAAACGTCTAAACTATTTAAGTTGCCTCAGGCATATTGAAAACAAAACAAATAGAACAACTTTAAAATAATATGTATATATTAATGTTTTAAATTTGTTCTAATGAATGTTTACCTATATTCTGCTTTAGTGGAGAATTTCATATTATAATTAATAAATAATAATGTCATCTGTAGTAGCTTTTCTTAGCTGTCTTCAGAAGTAAATGTTTGATTCTTCAAATTTCATTACATTTTATTCAGACTTTCAAAAAGATTGAAGAATCTAAACTTGTAAGAACAAAGTTTATGATATATTAATTGTAATACAAAGCTCTCTACTAAAGTAGAATGAAGGTAAATTTGAAAAGTTGGAAATTAAACTAATGAGTTTTGTCTTATTCTTTGCAGTAATGGTTAAAATTTCATAAACCCTTAAATTCTTGACCTACTTTCAGAAAATTAAAATTATTTAGAATTCTTATTAAAGGTATCCTAAATAAAAAAAGGAATATCATAAACATGAATCATTTTTAATTACAGTAGAGCGTCGATTTTCCGAAACGTCAATCATCCGAAAGAATTCCAGTCGGCAAATTAAAATTTTCGCCAGTGCTGTGGCGCTTCAATCTTTGGCTGTCTTGGGCTACTTAAATATTTTACGTTTTTGATACTAAATTAATATCTGAAGTATAATTTTTTATTGTTTTTATATATTTCAATATATTTATTTTGTACAAAATAAAAAAATAATTTTTAATGATACAATAGTCTTTGTTAGGCTTAACATCGACGAAAATTCAACACGAAGCGACACGCAACGGAGAAAATTTTCAACACGGGATAAATTAATATATTTTTTCGTACATAATTGGTTATCCGAAAAATAAGTTATCCGAACAACCCCAGTCCCCAATTGATTCGGATAAACGACGCTCT